GCGCCGTAGTCAATCAGCACAGCACATGGTGGATCCCCTGATCCCTCCAGCCAGTCCCCCAAAGCTGCCTATGACAAGGGAGAAATCCTATCAGTGGAGGAAGAAGTTGCTCCCCTACCTCAACCCCACCACAGCCTCCTCAGGGGACTTTCCTCCACCCACCCTGTTCCCAGCATCCTCTCCTCCTAGGAGGAGGTGCCATAGCAAAGGCATACGGGCCTACAGGACAGAGATCCTGTAAGGGAGTGACTTTCTCCCCTTACTTCTGGAGAACTTTCTTGTCTGGTACCTGGAGGTTTCGGGGGATGAGTTCCAAAGTAGCCAGAGGTGAGGAGTGTGAAGCCCAGCCAATTCCCAGGGCAGCTCAACGCCTCGCAATCGGAGCAGGTAGGATCAGCCACTGGGAAGAGAGGGCAGGGCTAGAACCCAAGATTCTGCCACCCCCAGCCTTTATCCCCACACACCCTAACCTCTTCAGCCTTTCCTCCCAGCTGGGATGAAGTGAAAGCCCAGAAGTTCCCTAGCAAGGCTTTCTGAACTAAAACCTAGGATCATGGGCCCGCAGTGAGCCTGAATGTTTGAAACTGGGGCCGTGCTAGAAAATACAGCACAGGCTGGGCACGGTGGCTCACGCCTGTAATCCCAGCACTTTAGAAGGCAGAGGCGGGCTGATTGCTTGAGTCTAGGAGTTTGAGACCAGCCTGTGCCACATAGTGAGACCTCATTTCTAAAAAATAAATACACAAATAAATAATAAGGAAAAAAACCAAACAGTACGTGTAGGGACCAATCCTATGGGGACTGCGCCCTCTGTGAGTTGTGGACAGGAGGCAGCTTCCAGGCGAGAGGATGAGGCAGCTGTGGGAGAAAGCCCCGTGTGAGTCAGTGCGGGGAGGAAGCCACACTTAAGACGGGACTGAGTTCTGGAGACCTGGTCCTAGCTGTTTTTCCCTGTGTGACGTTGGGGAAGCTGCTTAACCGAGCCAGGCATTGCTTGGACTGGGGGACTTCAGTCCTTGTGGAGATTAAGTAACATCACACCCTCTGGGACCTCAGAATGTGACACAGGGGCTGGGTGGACTGAGGTAGCCCTGTGGACTCCCGCCTCACCGCCAGGGTCACAGCCGTACCTTGTGCCAGGTTCTGGAGCTCCTGTCTTGGCCAGAGGAGGTGAGGGTGTGGCTGCTGCTCACCCAGCTCCACCCAGTTGCTATGACTGTAGAAATCCTGGTCCAGAGGACAGGAGAAGGGGAATGAGGCACTAGTCTGACCTTTCTCACCATCCCCAGCACTAATATGCTACTCCTTTGAGTTCCCCACCTGGAAAGTCCCCTCCTACTCCCACTACTCCCACCAGACACCCCAAGTCCCCTCCACCGCCCCCTCTCCATGCTCAGAGCAGAGCTTTGCCCGGGTGGAAACTGTCCCAGCATCTCTTCCCAGCTCAGAGTCTAACCCAAGGCCTCTCTGGGCCTGCAGGGTCCTGCAGCATGTGCTGCTCCCTCAGCTCTCTGACCTCACAGCCTTCCTCTCTCACCCTCACTTCCCTCCAGCCACAGTGCCCTCCTTGCTGTTCCTACAGGAAGCACTGCCAGCTTGGAGGTGGGGAACTGGGACACAACCTCGGGGCACCACGTGCCAGTGCCCACCCCTTCCAGAGTGGAGAAGGCATGATCAAGAAGGCACCATAGGATGCTCTCTATCCCGGACATGAAGACCCCTCTGACCATCAACCCAACCCTGTTCTCACCTGCAGGGCATGAAGTGCAGCCCCGAGGCGCTGGCGAGCCAGGGTGTGGTCAAGGGCTCTGGTTGCCACCAGGGTCTCCCGCAGAGCCCCTACCAGTTGCGCGCGTCCCTGATCCAGTCGCTCAGCATCAAAGTGCAGGTCGGGGTCATTCCTGGAAGTTGGCAGGAAGTCCTGGGCCGCATTGGCACGAGACACCTCACCTAAGGCTGCTCGGAACCGCCGAGAAGGAGAACCAGGTCCAAAGTAGGCGGCAAAGAGGTCATCGGCAAGGAGTGTTCGACCCTGGGGAGAATAGCGGAGGACGGGGCTCCAGGGAGGCCCCTTGGATTGACTTTTGCCCACCTTATCTCAGCAACTGACACTCAAGACTGGGTATGAGGGTCCTGAGCCCCACAAAGGAGGGGGACTCCTAATTTCAGGACCAAGACTACTGGGGATTGTTGCTGCAGGGGTGGGGCCATGGGTGTCTCTTCTCTTGGCAACCAGAGCCCTCACGGAGTAGAGGCCCCAGGAATTGGGGACTCTGGCAAGGGTGTGACAGGACCCTGGGATGCTCACCAGGAAGTCCTCAAGACGAAGAGGGGGGCGGCCTGGGGGTGGCCGCTCCAGGAAGAGCTGCAGGGTGACGTTGAGTGCTGCCTCCTCAGTTAGGTCTTGGTGGGTGATGGAGCCAGGGGCAGCCAGCAGGCTCCAGATGTTGGGGAAGAAGGCAGATGTGGGGGGCAGCAGCAGCTGCAGCAGAAGCAACACTGAGGGGCCCGGGTGGGACTGGGGCACTTCCGTGGGGAGCATGGCTGAGACATGGACCTGGGAGACAGAAGGCTCTCAAGGGAGGAGGAAGCAGCTGCGATTCCAGGGCAGGCCGGCTCTGCGGGTCTCCATGGGCACCTGCTTTACCTCAAAAGTCGCGTCTGCTGCAGCCTGGCTTCCCCACCCTCTCTGTCACCCAGACAACCTGAGGGCCTCATCTGACCATTAGGGACATACACAGCTGCCAGGAGAGGGGTCCAGGGTTCCTCCCCCAGGCCCCCCTCCCCAGTCCCTGGCTGAGTTCCCAGCCCTGCTGCAGAAACACTCCCCATGCACAGGAAGCCTGAGTCCTCTCAGGCCCTCCCCTACCTGGTTGCTGGGTCTCCTAGGAAGGGCTGGCCCGGGCACGACGTCACAGGGCACTTAGGTCAGAGTTATAATTAACCGAGGCCCAGTAGAGGGGGAGGAAGGCCCCCACAGGGTGGGGGAGGACAGGCAACCCCCCTGGCCCCTTTGCTCATGCCTGCCCAAGGCCACAGGCAGCAGCCCATGCCAGGGCGGGCCTCCCTTGGCCGCAGTGCGGAGGTGAATGAAAGCTGGGGAGGAGGAAGGGAGTGAGCAGCGTGACTCAGGCCTGGCACAGTGCCAGGGACAGACCCAGACAGACCTGCCCCTCTGCCCTCCAGAACCAGGGCCTCACTCTCACCCTGCAACCCCCAGGGATTCAGGCACCCAGCCCCTCTGCTCCCCTCTCTGCCCCCACCACAGATGACAAGAGGATTTTGTGGGAAAATATTTTATTGCTGCCATCCCCATGGTGAGCTGCTGGGGGTGAGCGGGGAAGCTAGGTGGTGGATCACAGCATCTTCTGGAATAGGGCGATGGCCTCATCCACCTTCCTGAGCTCTGCTTCCGTCTGTTGGAGCTGGAGTGGAACCAGGGGATGGGTGAGGACCCACGTCCAAGCGAAGAGACCCCCAGACACCCAGGACAACAAAGTTGGAAAGATGAGCGAGGACCATGGAAGGTCAGTAGCTCGGAGGAGGCGTGAACCTGGCTGGCCTGGCTCCCCACCCATTTCCGCCAGCACCCCCACCCCCACCTCCACCAGCACCTCTTGGGTCTTGCCTTTTTCCACAGAGTGGTCAGTCCCCAAGAACAAAGGAACCTCAGAGCCTACATGCTCCCCACACAGTGTCCCCACGTAAGCAGGAGAGCACAGGGTCCCAGGCCAATCACTTCATTTGTCAGATGACGATAATATTACCCCTCCCAGGGCTCTTGGGAGAACCAGGTGAGATGAACCAGGTCCACTCAAGGCTCTCTAGCTCTTGGCCTCCGTGACTGATTTTCTCCATGTCTGTGCAGCTTACTCTACTACTCCTCTCTGGCAGAACCCAGGAGGCAGGGGACAAACGAGACTGGCCGTCCAGGGTCAGCTCGGTAGGCTTGAAAGTGGTGGGAGGTCCAGGGCTCCCGACTACACGTGGACCCCAAGCCTAGCCTCAGGCATGCGGGTTTCCACATTTCAGGCAGCTGGGTGGGGTATGAAGGGTCTGATTGGGAGATAGGATGCCTGCTTCTAGGTCAGCCTCCATCTCCGACCTGTTGTGTGACCCTGGGCTGTGCCCAGCCCCCAGCTGCTCCCCATGTGTAAGGGAAGGGCATTCTATGGTCCCTGCTCCAAGCGCCTGGGCTCCATGTTTCCCAGTGGATTCCCCAGGTTTGGGTACAGAGTCCAGCTTCCAGACCAGGAAGTTTTGGTTTGGATTTTGGGTTTTTTTTTGGATGCTTTTTTTTTTTTTTTTTTTTTTGAGAGAGAGGGTCTTCTCTCTCTCTCTGTTGTCCAGGCTGGAGTGCAGTGGCATGATCTCGGCTCACTGCAGCCTTGACCTCCCAGGCTCAAGCAATCTGCCCACCTCAGCCCCCCGAGTAGCTGGGACCCCAGGTGTGTGCCACTGTGGCCAGCTAATTTTTCTATATTTGTTGTAGAGATGGGATCTCACCATGTTGGCTGCTCTCAAACCCCTGGGCTCAAGTGATCCACCCACCTCGGCCTCCCAAAGTTCTGGGATTACAGGTGTGAGGCACTGAACCAGGCTGTTTTGTTTTGTAAGGTTAGTGGGAATGGAGAAGGAACAAAGAAATCTGTAGCTGGTTACGATCAATTAGTCGTCAACACCACTGTACTCGGACCAGCCCAGACCAGGGTTTTGACGGAGGAAGTGGATGGTGTGGGAAATGCCCACTCACGCCACACACCTTGGCTTCATCTGCCTCCTGGACTTCGAGGGGCACCTTGACAGGGTAGCCTGAGGCGGCACGGCGTTCCCGCAGACGCTGGGCCTGCCGCTGTGCCTCAACTCGCTTGGCTTGCAGCTTGCCCAGCTCCCGCGCAGGGTCCACCAGCCCCTGCAGCTGCAGGTGGATGGAGCAGCGATCAGAGGCCAGAGCCACAGCGCAACCCTGCGGGGCGGGAGCCCCCAGGGCCAGAACAGCCACCACACCTGCGCTGGACAGCGCCTGCACGTAGCCCGACACAGCCGATGCCAGGGCGCCCGTGGCCTCATCCGCCACTTCCAGGAAGCCTGCCAGAGAGGGAGAAAGGTGAGGCCTAGCTCCATGGAGACAGGAAACCAAGCAGTCACTGCTGGACACTGGGTCGCAGAGTGGGCTGAGGGTACAGTGGGATGGGGTGGACATGGGGGCGTGAGGCTCACAGTCAGGCCGGATCCGGGTGAGGTTGTAGTCAGCCCGCAGGGACCGCACAGCTCGCGTGATGCTTAGCGCCAGCTCAAGGGCAGCTTCTGCCTCAGGGTCCTTCCAGGAGCACTGTGGGGTGGAGGAGGGGGTGAGGGGGCCTGGAGCGCAGGTCAGACTCCCCTCTCCAGGCCATGCCATACCTCTGAGGGCTCTGGGTAGGGGGTGACACAGAGGCTAGGGGGAGCTTGCGGCATCCTCCGGGGCAGCCTCTGGAACAGCTCCTCCGTCACGAAGGGCATGAAGGGCGAGAGCAGCCGCAGGCCAACGTCCAGGCAGGTGTACAGGGTCTGGCGGGCACACTCGGCTGCCACCTGGTCTACCCCATTCAGTACAGGTTTCAGGCACTCCTAGGGGACGAGAGGTACAGGGCTCACGGCTGGAGGTCTAGCCTTGAGCCCTCACTGTGCATGTGAGGACTGGGAAGGGGATGGGTTGGCTTAGGTCTCAAGGCCAACTCTGGCAAAACTGAGCCCAGGGCTTTGCTGCCCGCCCGCCCCCCACCATCCCCTGCCCTGCTCTGCTCCTTCTCACCAAGTAGACATCACAGAGCTCATAGAGCCAGAAGCTGTACTGGGCAGTGGTGGCGGCCGGGAAGTCGTAGGCCTGGAAGCCTTGATTGCTGAGCCTCACAGCCTCTGTCAGGCGGCTGCGGATCCAGCGGTCCACCAGGCTTTCATGGCCTCCGGGCTTGGGAAGAGAGGGTGTATCAGCCAGCGGGCCAGGGGAGGGTGACAGAACCCCAGGGGGGCAGGAGTCATGGGCAAATCTTCACCCAGAGTCTGATGAGTCCAAAGCAACCACCTATGTGCCAGGATCTGGGAAGAAGTGACAGGCCCCAGCCCCCAGTGCCCTGGGCTTTCCCTTTAACTGTCCGTCTCTGTGTCTATCTGTCCCCCGGCAACATGGAGACCACTCTGGACAGGGGTGCAGCCTGTGTGGGCCCTGCTCAGTGATTCCTGTGCCCAGCCTTTGCTGCCCACCAGGCCCTCACCTGGGAGGTAGGTGAGGGCACAAAACCCTTCCCAAGGCCACGAAGGGCAAACTTGGTGGCATTCCAGAGCTTGTTGCAGAAGTGGCGGTAACCCAGTATCCGGTTCACATCCAGGTTGATGTCACGACCTGGGTCGGGGGTAAGACGTGAGTCCTCATCATCCTCTTCCCAGCCCATGCCCACCAGAGGCTCAGGGTGGAGAAGAGGGATGGACCTCACAGAAGGAGGGAGTGGCTGGGAGGGCAGCTTTGGGGGCCATACCCTGGGATGTGTAGGCACATAATCCAAACCGGAGAGCATCGGTGCCACACTCGGGAATCCCCGCTGGGAAGTCAGCTTTCTACAGGGAAGAGGCAGAGGCAGGAGTGTCCTCAGCCAGCCCCATCCACGCTGTGCTCCTGCTCAGCCCAGCCCAACCCTCCACACCTGCCCTTCTTTGGCCTTCTCCACCTCGCTGGGATCCAGGTTGCTGTTCAGTAGCTGGTCGTGGAGGCCCTGAGGGTGGAGTGGGAGCAGTCAGGTGGCTGTGGCCACAGCCCCACAGCCCTTCCTGGCTGGCCCAGCACCCAGCCCACCTGCAGGGAGACTCCATAGATGACGTCCAGGGGATCGATGACATTGCCTAGAGACTTGCTCATCTTCCGGCCGTGAGCATCTCGCACGATGGCGTGGAGGTAGACCTGAAGAGCAGGTGGGCAGGCCCGTGAGACTCAGTCCTCTCCTTCCCCGGCCTCAGTGCCCCGACCAGGACTGTGTCTGGTCTACCCCACTGTGAACCTCACGTCCCACTGAATGTCCCCAAGAGTTCGTTCAGTGCCTTTATGTGAATCAGAAGCACTCCCTCCTCTGGGAAGACGAAGCCCTGGGCACAGGGATCACTGAGCAGGGCCCAGGCTGGATTTCAACCCCCCACCAGCCCCTGGGTCAGGCCTGCCTACAGCTAACTCCATGCCCCAGCCACGCGGGGCCTGTGCTGCAGAACAGGACAGCAGGAGAGGAGGCTGGGGGTGATGGGAGGGTCTCGGCTGTCTCCGCACCTCTCTAAAGGGCAGCTTGCCCGTGAGCTTCAGGCCCAGCATGACCATCCGGGCCACCCAGAAGAAGAGGATGTCGTGACCGGTCTCCAGCAGTGTCCCAGGGTAGAACACACTCAGGTCTTCTGACTGAGGGCAGACCAGGGTGTGAAGAGGAGCCAACACCCACCCTCCAGTCCCCTGTCCCGCCAAGCCCTGGCCCAGGAACACACCTGGTTGGGCCAGCCAAAAATGGATAAGGGGAAGAGGCCGGAGGAGAACCAGGTATCCAATACATCCTCATCTGAGAGAGGCCAAAGGTCAGAGGTCAGAGGGAATGGAGCTCTGCCCCCAACAACTCTCTCCAAACCCTCAAAGCCCCTCCTTGCCTTGCTGGAGACTGATCTTGTCAGGGGACACTCTGAACTCCTTGGCTGCCTTCTCCCGGGCCTCCGCCTCGTTGCGTCCACTCACCCAGTACCGCCCGTCAGGGTCCTGCCGCAGGTGCAGTGATTACCCAAGGGGGTGTGTCTGCTTCTGGCTCATCCTGCCCCTCCCCCCACCAAGGACCCAATAAACACACTGCTCCCCCAGGGTGTCCCAGCAGCTAACTCTGGCCGTCTGCTCACCTCCCCAGGGGGCACCGCTGGGTCACTGACAGTGACAAAGTAGGCTGGGATGCGATGGCCCCACCACAGCTGCCTGGAAATGCACCACTCCCTGCAAATGTCGGGGAGGGGAAATCAGGGAGGGCCTGGTGGAGCCTGGCCCGAGCTCTGCTCAGCCCTTGGCAAGCCCCTCCCACACTGAGGGCCCTACACACCGG